GGAGAGAGACAGATGTCGAACGCTGCCGAACGCGGAGGCCGATTGTGCCTCTTTGTCGCTCGTTCCGCGCTCTCGCTTGCACTTCAAGCCTTAAATGGAACGCCTCAGAGCGAGGTAACGCCGCATGAGTCATGTTTTTTCGTGCGTGCAGCCGGCTCCATCGAATTATAAGACGTTGTCACGTCAAAAAAAAAGAATAATAACATACATTTGAGCAAACAAATTCAATGGGAGTGTTGGCTTTGCATGGTTTTAGAAAGTTTGGATAAATTTGGCTCATAACTTGTTGTTTTAAGTATCAAACACGACTCTAAATTTTCATTTATCAGTTAGCTTCTTACTTTACTTTTAATTATATTCATGCAAGGGCTTGCCCGCACGAATATGTCGATCCGAAGATAGTCAGCGCTCCACATGCCAACTTCTTCACGTCATTGTAACAATCTGGAAGATTATTGGGAAGCGGTGAAAAGCGAGTACAACTGGCTAAGAGATAGAATCAGTGCCTAATCCTCGTTAATCAATTCAGATCGATTTTTAAATGGTTTTGTTTTTGATAAAATAAATAATATTTTCGTATGGAACTAAAGAGCCGCAGCTTCACATCCAAAGAGCCGCATGTGACCCTGCCGACCTCTGTGCTAGAACTAGAAAATTTTTACACTAAAATCAACTTTTGTAAAAAATTTAGTAAATAGATAGATGGATAATAGCCTGAGGATCCATTTTATGTATTTCTTTTGTATTGCTTCGATTAAATACCCCGTATTTCCGTTTCATACTTCAGTAGGTATACTTTCTACGAATACTTCTAAAAATAAATACGTTTTCTTTTCCCAGTTTTCCTTGAAATTCTTTTCAGACATGCTCCATACTTTCCTTAAGACTGCAGCTGCCTTTTTTTAAGTTTCTTATTTGTTCTTCGTTTGTTCTTCTGTACGAAGTAGCCCAGACTTATTAATTGTCTTTTAAATTTGAGTTACCTGTTAATTGTTCCAAAGCGAATTCATGCAGCTATTGTTTTCGTCCACCAAGAGATTTTTTTTTTTGCGTTGAATTAGAGAATAGACTGCAGGCACGCAAGCATTCTAATACAAAGGTTTCGAGGAGCAGGCTGATAATATCAAAGGGAGAAACTCCGATACTCCCCGAATTCTCATTGTGTAAACGCCCGTTCGTCATCCGTCTGATGAAGTCGAATGGGTTTTTTGTATGGATTTTATGACCATTACATAGGAGGGTTTACAAAGCCCTATTCCTTCAGTCGGTCAACACATTTGTATTTCTCGACGAATGGATTGAATTGTTCTACCGTTTTTTTTTTACGTAAATTGCAATGAAAAGGGTCGTTAGTAACTATTGTTCTATTAAATAATTGCGGAAATGTAGAATATTACTAGGATTATTGAAATGTTGCGTTTAAATCATTGACAAGGTTTGTAATTAATTAACACGATACGACAATTGTACGTTAGATACATTCTTTTAATGATCCTAAATTGACTTTGTAAACTGTATGACATGCTGTCCCACATTTGCAACTATTTTCAAATGTTAGGTAATCTAATCTAGGTCTTCTACTGCCTCTCTTCAGTCCTGTTTTTATTTCTAATATGGTCCTAAATAATAGCCCTTCGTGTCTTAAAAGATAGTCTACCTATCTACCTATCCACCTGTTTGTTTTACCTATTCTTTTACTTCTTCAGTCAACTTTCCTGTTTTGGATCTTGAGTTGTGAAAGCTGCATGAAACATTCCATCATCCTTAACTATTTTCAAAAAGTAGGCGATAAAAGTAAAAGTAAAATACTGGTATGCAAGGGAAGAAAAAGTAGGGGAAGAGCGAATATAAAGATAGGAGAGGAAAAATTAGAAGAATTGGCTGATTTTAGATACATAGGAAGTCAGATAAGTGAGGATGGAAGGAGTAGTAGGGATATAAAGCAGAGGATAGCGCAGGGTCGTGTCGCCTTTAATAAAAAGAAGTCACTTCTATGCTCGCGAACGGTTAATTTAGAAATTCGAAAAAGGTTGTTAAAGGTGTATGTTTGGAGCACGGCGTTGTACGGGTGTGAAACATGGACAGTGGGAGCGGCGGAAAAGAAAAGGTTAGAAGCGTTCGAAATGTGGTGTTATAGGCGGATGATGAGGATATCGTGGGTAGAAAAGGTTAGAAATGAAGAGGTATTGGAAAGAATAGGAGAACGGAGGACTCTATGGAAGTCAATAAAAAATAGGCGAGATAGGTTGGTAGGACACCTTCTCAGGCATGAAGGTCTAGAGGCAGAAACAGGAGTTAAGAGGGGTAGAGGTAGACCTAGATTAGATTGCTCTTCGCAAATAGTTGAGGATGTGGGCTGTTCTAGTTTTAAGGAAATGCGAAGTTTAGCTCAGGATAGGAAAGAGTGGAGGT